AATTCGAGAGCACGTCAGAATCTGTGTCAGGCAGAGACAGCAAGAATCCTGTCCTGAGCAGCAGCCTGATCCGAACCTGCCCGATTATGTTCTTAGCAGGCAGTTTTGATAAGGGCCCCTTTCCTGATCTGATAACTGCCGGGAGAAGCCAAATGCAGAGTCAATCTGCAAATACTTAATCCTCCAGAAGGCAGATTAAGTGTATAATTGACCTATATAATCCATGTATCATCTCTCGTCAAATGTTCCCGGGGCCTGGCTCGCCAGGACACGAGACCCAAAGAAAGCGATCGCGGATGTGGCATTAGGACCGGCGTGGATTCCGTCCAAGTTCGAGATAGCTTTTTAATCACTCATCTCCGAGCCTGTGAGGTTTAAGTAGATGAATTCACCCGAAGCACCTCTCTTTTAATCCCGATTTTCTCCTCAGTCTGTGTCTTCAAGAAGTACAAGGAGGAAAGGAAATAAATTAATTTTTGTTTAGCCCTCGGCATCTTAGGTACTTCTCCTGATGATCTGAGCTCTAATTTCAAAAAGAATTTTTTTTTTTTTTGGTAAGTGGGTAGGGAAGATGCTGAATTAATCACCCCAGAAGGGCTGGGGCGTGGGAGCCATGTGCACGAATCTGGACCCTCCAGCTCCAACTGCAGATTTCCAGGTGTTCCTGGAGCTGTGCTTCCTCCTCCCGAGTTGAGTGGGGCGATGGAGTCCGCAGCCGATGGGGATGGGTGCTGTGCCGCCTGTGTGAACGACAGTCCCTTCCTTCCAAAGCAGCCATTGCTCTTGAGGAGGCCCCGCGGCCACTCCCGCCCTGCGGCAGCCTGTTCTCCGTGAAACATCGAGCATCTCTCCTAACGTGCAAATTCATTGTTCGTGGACACATTCTTTGCTGGTTTTCGGTCTTTGAATCTTTTGTTGCAGAATATGATCAGCAGTTACTATACAGAAACTGAAACTTGGCGATGGCTGTAGATCTTTTTGGTTTGGGTTTGTAATGGGAAAAATGACAGAATTGGAGATGAAAAAAATCTACAGCTACACATGTGAACTACTAGGGGAAGCAGTATGAGGACTTCTTATTTTGGCATGGTGAGTTTTTATTTCCTTAGGTGCGTTATCAAAGAAGCTGCTGGCATTCCATAGAAAGGCTATATAAGCCAATCATATTCATAGACAGGAAACTACTGCACACACCCCCAAAAAGGACTAGCTAGGCTACGTTATATCCAAATAGATTTCTTCAATAAACCTAGAGAATGTCTATTTTTAAAATGAAAAAAAAATTGGTGAGGATAAACCTGCAAAAAAATGCTCTTTAAGTTATATAATAAATGAGATAAAAATGCAGAACATCAAAATAGAGCCCCAAATCCTATACTGAAAATCTCCGACAAGCACCCACTTCCAGTCAAAATGACGAAGCAGAGGGAAAACCTTCTCAGAGGTAGGGTCCCCGCTGAGACAGAAGATGTCCTCATTAAATGACCAGCTAATAGTCCAAATGCCCTCAGACACAGACAAACACTAGTGCCATCCAGCCTTTTCTACAAGGTCAAATTCAAAAGAGTTAAAAAAAAAAAAAGAAAAGAACAATACCAAATAGCAAGGATTTTTCAGGTAAATAAAACCGGGACTGGAAACACAGCTAACAACACAACAGGAACTGAGTCCATGCCTGGGAAGGACAGATGCCAACAGGAACTGAAAACACAGACCGACACACCACAGTCAGAACTGACAAGCCCCCAAACCGCAAACAACCTTGGAGGGGATATGTGTGTGTGTGTGTGTGTGTGTATACATATATCCTTCATTCGAAATGCTAATTTTCGATTATTCATTTTTGCCATTTATCAAAATGCTACAATTTGGAAGAGAAACCTTTCTGATCAAGAAATTCCTCTCAATCCCTTTCTGCCAATTGCTTAGAAACCTGCCCCTGGGCCACTATCACTAGGGAATGGGGCTTAAAGGACAGGTTCATAGGCGGAAGAAATGTAAGGTGGCAGATTTCACGGCCCTCTGCCTTGTGTACCTAGTCCCTTGTTCAGGGTGGGGAGGGCGAGGGGGCAGGGGACCAGGGTGGGGCATGATAACCTTGTACAGCATATATGCCAAGAAATAAGCACCATGCTTGAGGAAACAGAAGCCGAAAATAATCAAACATGTTGGTAATCTGATGTTTTGCTGCTAGATTATAGAAAAACAGTAAGTACTGAATTAAATTACTGCGACTGCATGGTAATGAACCTTTTGAGACGCTCTGGGTTTTTCAAATGACAAATGTTTTAAATCTATGACAGATTCAACAACTTTTTTTTTTTTTTTGTACTTCATCAGTTAGGTTGCCTAGCACCAATATTCTGTAAATTAGGGGAGCAGGTTATCAAAAAAGCAAGAAAGTTAAATGGCAAAGCAATTCGTTATGCCTAAGCAAGCTCCTGAAGAAGTGTTCTCCCCCACGAGGGTGGGTGGGATGCACGCAGGATGATTACAATGGCTAAGCCTTTAAAATCAGAGAGTAGGAAGGGTGTAACCAAGACTCCCTTGGGAAAAGATAATTAAAATACAATGAGGCTAAAGCTTGGGGGTTCCCAGGATATTAAAGCCATTTTCGCCTGGCCAGTGTCACTTAACCAGGAACGGGAGACACTTGGGGATTTCTGAATGACCCCAGACTGAATTTGCTCACCGGGCAATCATATTCTGAGCAGTGTTGTTTTCCGCAGGAGTTCATTTTCAGGCAGGGGAGCGTGACTTTCCCCGGGTCCTCCCTCAGCAGCTCTGCAAGCCCCGCTTTACCACCTGTGTAGTCAAGGCTGCATTCTTCTCTGACTTTTAAAAATCAACATTTAGTTGCACTTTGCCATAAAAAGGGCCACAGGGGACTGTTGACCTCGCTGCCCTCAATAAGGGCGCCTTACATTTTGCCCCCTGACTCTGCACTTCTGATTAACCCAGGCAACGAGGACAGTGGGTTGTCCATAAAGTGACAGGCCGAGTTACGGGTGACACATCAAAGTCAGTACTCGAGGTTTTTAAGTTTTGGAGAGCAAGAGGTTACTCGCACACACTCACACAGGACCGCACATCACACATACACAAGGGATGCACAGAACTGAGAATCAGAAAACACTGACACACCACCCTCCCCCAATTACCAAAAAAAAGAAAAAGAAAGAAAGAAAGAAAGAAAAAAGGCAACCTAGGCATTGAAAAGAACAATCTACAGGCGTCTTGGATTTTTGTGGTTTGGAATTCAATTCGGCGGTGATGGACAGAGCGTCCACACTCCAACCTTGGATCCAAGGGGGCGGCCTGTCTGTTTTCAATGCCTATTGGATGGGTGAGTGTGGCCCAGACATAGTAGGCTCTGAACTCCCATGGGGCACACATGCAGAGAGGGGGGAGGGCCCGCCGGTGAGCTTTATGCATGTATGAGGCATTCTCAGTGGGTGTGGGTCATGCTAGAAGATGTACACAGGAAGATTATTTGATTCTAATTCATGCCACTTGATATAATGTGATAAAACATTTGACATGAGAGATAAGTTCCATTTTAATCAGAGAGACAAGAGCGAGAGACAGAGACAGAGACAGAAAGAGCGAGAGAGCGAGAGAGCGAG